TCGTTATGGCCTCCCGCGCAGACATTCGTTATTTACAGCGTTTCGTTTTCTCGCGTTCTTCTACAAGGTTCATGGAAGAAGAGACTCGACTCATGACCAGAACTCGCACATTAATTTCGACGCAGAGTTAATTACACTAATTTTAAATACATAATGACATATATTCTTATTCTTACATTTTTTAAACATCAATTATTCATGGTAGGTAGACTACTTTTGTGTCTGATGCAGATGAATTTGTTTTTGGTTTGTCTCATGATAGTCACGTTATCCTTAACGGACTTTTGACCTTTGGTTAGTCGAAGAGGATCCAGATATAGGCCTTCCGTGAATTGTTGTGTAAACGTCGAAATATAAGGATTTGTTTGGGGGAAAAAACGATTGTTTCTGTGTGTAAGGTATGAATTTGAAAGGATTTTAATAAAATCGGCCATCCTCACCTGACTTGTGTTTTTTCCTTCCTGAATGGTTCTTGAGCTGATTAAATTTCATTGGAACAGGTTTGCTTCCTTGATCTCACAGATCTATCGAAATAAAGGATTATAGTCGAATTGTAGAGAGCAAACCAGTTCCAATAAAACCCATAAAATGGCTATAAATCGCCTCAGAACCACACACGGAAGAAACACACAACTTAAGTGTGGTCAGCCGATGTTTATTTAAATCGTCTGAATCCTTTCACATTGCTATTTGTAGCTCACAATCTTCAATCAGTCTTCAGTCAAATACAAATCCTTACATTTTTTTTAAAGCTACTGTAGTAATTTCACCAAAAAATCACTATTTTAGGTAAAGGGATATTTAACAACAACTTCACTTATTTTGTATCAACTTTATTTATTTCAAAATCTTTGTTACAAAAATACATTAAAACACAAGCCGCAAGTCAGTAAAAGCTATTCGGGGCGGTTTGTGTAAAAAATACATAAATAAATGAATGAATGAATAAATAAAGAAAAATAATTAAGTAGATTTGTAAAGTAAACTGTAAAGAAAAAAAGTGTTATAAGAAAAAAGGAAATTAATTAGGTAAGACAATAGAGCACAATTATTTACACTAAAAAGGGTAAAATAAGTATACATGCTTTACAAGCAACATAAGATGCTAAAAATTCAGTAGTTGTAGAATGGTTAGCGGTTCAAGATATTCGTCTTGGTCATTTAGGATCATACAATTGTTTTTTGAAATTGCCGTATTTAAGCTGTCTTTTAAAATGAGTTGCTATCAATTCCACGCTTTGGCTCCAAAGTTTGAAAAGGAAGGCTTGACCTTGTGCTATACAAGTGTATATCTGATATTTCTTCAAAGAGGTTTCTTAAATTAACTGGTGCTATTGTATTCTTGACTTTATACATGAGGTTGCACATTGATTCAACATACGGAAAACTTATAGGTTAGATGTGGCTTTTGATAAAGAGAGGAATCGCCCGATCTTTTCTACTTGGTGAAAAATGCATTAACCGAAGAGCCCTTTTTTGCGGAGAATAAGAAGTTTCTCTAACTTAGTTTTTGTGGCTTGCCCCTAAGGCAGGAATAAGATACATAGGATAGAAATAAGATAGGAATAGATAAGAAATGGGTACACTTGCGATAAAGTTCGAAAAGGAACAGAATGTCTTAAACTAGCGATAATTCCTATAGTTTTACTAATTTCCAATGCGACAAGGGGTATTCGCTCCAGCTTAGGTTTTTGTCCATAAGAGTACCTACTGTAGGTATTTAAAGTATTCTTTGCACTCTAAAAACACCTGAGCTTACTTGTCATTGTCAAATACCCAAATTTGAGGTTTATAGGAAAGTATCCTTTGATGGGGACGAAATATGACATGATTGGATTTCTTGATAATTAAGGTTAGCCTATTTGCAGTAAACCATTCACAAAGTTTAGATATTTCTGCATTAACAGTCCTCACTAATGATTTAAGGTCCCTGTTTGCATAAAGTAAACTAGTATCGTCAGCAAAAAGGTAAAACTTCAATTTATCCGAGCAGTTACTAATACATTAATGCAAAGTATGAAAAGCAGGGGACCAAGCAATGAGCTTTGCAGCACTCCGCAAGGAGTGCTTACTTTGTTAAAGATATATGAAATAAATCATATATGAACTACGGAAATGAAATGGAAATGAAGAAATGATCGTCGCAGTGAACCCAATTTATGCAATTGCGTAAAGAAGCCTGAAAAAAATTCAGACTTCAACGGGGTTTGAAGTCGTGACCTCGCGATTACGGGTGCGATGCTCTACCAACTGAGCTATGAAGCCAATGACGTTAGGAGCAGGTCAATTGTGGGTTCATATGTTCCCGTGAAAGAAATATGAACCCACAATTGTCCTGCTCCCAACGTCAGTGGCTTCATAGCTCAGTTGGTAGAGCATCGCACCGGTAATCGCGAGGTCACGGGTTCAAACCCCGTTGAAGTCCTGAATTTTTTTCAGGCTTCTTTACGCAATTGCATAAATTGNAGCTATGAAGCCAATGACGTTAGGAGCAGGTCAATTGTGGGTTCATATGTTCCCGTGAAAGAAATATGAACCCACAATTGTCCTGCTCCCAACGTCAGTGGCTTCATAGCTCAGTTGGTAGAGCATCGCACCGGTAATCGCGAGGTCACGGGTTCAAACCCCGTTGAAGTCCTGAATTTTTTTCAGGCTTCTTTACGCAATTGCATAAATTGCGTTCACTGCGACGATCATTTCTTCATTTTCAGTGCTTACTTTATTAGAAATAAATGACCCAACATAAGTTGTCTGTGCACGAGACTGTAGGTGGGACGAAAACCAACTGTTGATAACACCTCATATTATAGTGTTCCACGTTGTTTTAAAGTATATTTTATAAATTATAACTAAGATAGTACGCGCGCTCTGATTGGCCGAGGGGCTGTGTGTAAGAGAGTATATGAACATGGTTGTGACGTCAAGATGTTTGCTTTTCGCGCGCTAATCACGCAAGCACGAATATGAAAAAGTTTTTGCGTTGAAAACTCGACAAATTTACTTTATTTACCCATTCCCTCGTCAGCTGAAACTTGTAAAGTCTTTGCAAACATGCATGCTGTGTCAATTTTTTTTTCTGCTTAAGCAGACATTTTAAGTGATAAAAGCAGTATTTTGGAAAGCATCTTTTTTGCAGAACAACAACTGATTACGCGTGCAAGACGTCGTGTACAAGACTTCGAGACTGATAAGGATTTCTCTTAATCAGTGCCATAACAAAGAGTTTTGCGTTTTTTCTCGGGAAAGTTATTTTATAAATGCAATAAAAAACTTTTTTCCTGCATTTCTATAGCCTGATACGAACACTCGCCGGAGGGGTTGGGAGAATTCTCAATAGATATGCAAACCCTCGACTCGTAGTCTCGGCGGGTTTGCATAACTGTCTCTAATTCTCCCAACCCCTCTCGCGTTTATATCAGGCTATGCAAACACGGAAAACGTTTTATAATGATTTTTTATTCATGTTATTTTGGATGGTGATAATAATAACCAAAGTTACACAATGTGTCGCATGTTCGCGACGAAAATCGTGCTGGCAGTTAAGATGTTTTCAGAGCACAAACTGTACCGAGACGTTTTTATAGGCTGCAATAACGAGACATTAACATGAGACGTCAGGTCGCCCTCGAGCAAATAATAACAATAGCGAAAGGTTTTTTGAAATTCGTGCCCCTCAGTGGAAAGTGTTTCATTTCATCAATCCTGTCCCGGTTTTGATAGTATGCGTTTCATCGACAATGCAAGCCGCCAAGTTCTTTTTGAACAAAGAATCTTTCCTCTGATCTTCATTTCAACGATTCGACAAACCTTTTGTCTGTCGCGGCTTCTGCCATTGCGTATTTGATGTCAAATCGTTTCTTTGTGAATACCTTTTGAACACTCCAACTTTTCTTTTAGATTAAAGCCACATAGTTCCATTGAAGTGACTTCCTAGATCTGAACTTCGATTCCACTCGCTAAGAAATTCGTGAGGTCGACTTGTAGCAAGTCTAGCTTATTTGCCCCTTTCTTCGACGATCAAAACATATACTTCTTTTTAA